AGTCCCTTGAAATACAATCATTGAGTTCGATAGTAAGCATCCGCTGAGCATCAAGAATGGACTGCCTCTTCAGCCAGTTTTCTGACCGCCTGATGAAAAGACTATATCTAGCAGTTTCCCATTCAAATATCCATAATACAGCCCCCTGGTAGACCCTCAATCACACCACCAATTATTCCTACCGTCTCTCATCCTCACGCCCCCCAAACCATTGAAGGTCCACTAATGCAAGTTGAGATAGAGGAAAAACATCCGGAAAAAACTCAGATGCTCTCAAGGTAGCTCTTGGTTGGATGTCAAACCAGTTTGAAAGATGATCCTCTCCTGGCCATACCACCTCCCCCAATTTCTCCCCAGGTACATCCCCCAGCAAGTCTGAATTGAATTTTTGATTTTTTTTGTTTGAACCACTTGTACCTTTGTCGGTTCGGAAAATAGTGGGCCTCTGACCTTTTGGGAGGCCGAAACAAAACGACGGCCGCCGATCAGATTTATTAACGGCAGCCGTTGCCGGGCCTGGCCTCCTAAAAGTTCGGGAGCTGGCAAGAACTTGTTGAAACCGGATGCCAAAGGTACTAGTCACTAGTACCTTTGTCGGTTCGGAAAATAGTGGGCCTCCGACCTTTCAGGAGGCTGAAACAAAACGACGGCCGCTGATCAGATTTATCAACCGCAGCCGTTGTCGGGCCTGGCCTCCTAAAAGTTCGGGAGTTGGCAAGAACTTGCCGAAATCGGACGCCAAAGGTACTAGTGCGTTTTATCTTTTTTTTGTTTGAGATTCATAAGAACTGTTTTCGTCGTTTCCCATTGAGCCTTGAGTTCTGTTTGTACAAACTGTTGAATTATTTCTGCCATCTCTTTACCTTCGATCTTCACATCTTCCATTGTGTTAACACATCTCTTGTACCATAAAGCCCACAAAACGGCCTTCCTTCCTATTTTAAAGAAGTTCTGTTGAAAATTTGATAATGAGACCAGGGGTGGATTCAGGTATCCTAAGAGGATAGCGCTCTAGTACTAGGGCCATTCCAAGCTTGTCAGTCTTTGCCATACACAATCCCATCATTGCCATAATAAGATTGTTCCTGGGCATTACAAAAAAACGTGTTCAATTGTTTCCCTGATTTTCCTATTGGGAAAGGCCTGACCACATGAATGACACCATGGTAGAGCCAAACCTGTTTGTTCTTGTGTAGAGCGGTCTATCAACCAATCATTAGCTGGTAAGCATCTATGATTTGTCTGCCATTGCAATGATGGAAACTTTGCAGGTCTTTCCTCGAGTCCGTGGCACCACTTGACTGGTTTGAGTGAGTCTTTATAGATGTTGAAATGTCGCACCGAACGGTCTTGCACAATATCTTGGACGTTTATTTTGGGCCGCAATAGTTTGTATCACACCTTAACTGTCAGGGATTGTAATCTCTGGGGTTTACACCTCCTATTAGTACGCCATATCCAATAAGCCAGGTCCAAGGGAAGTTCCATAATAGGATAGTGTGGAAGGAAAATTGTGCAGCCTTTAGTGGATGAGCAGTATAGTGTCATGACTCTTTATAGTACCTCAAAGGGGAAGAATTCTACATCCTTACTATTACTGGAAATCCTGTTGTTTTTGTGTATCATGAAAGTATTCACTAAAGCCCCATCCATACGAGTCTCCAAAATTTGACCTACTATCTTGGTGCCATCTAGTTGGTTCCGATATACCCAATCCGAAATCAAGAAAAATGGGCCTTTTTTTAGTATAATTATCCAGGCCAGGGGGATAACAAATATAATTTCATCAAGATTGCTGGATAAATTGCGTGCATATTTGATATCTTTCTTAAGGTCATCCACAATTTTCCAACTCTTTCCCGCCGGATCCCACAAATCGTTAACTCTTACCACTACATTTTTTACCCATGCAGACCATGGAGAGGTCGAGCTTATAAACACTTCACTGTTTGAATCAGTAATCCATCGGTTACCAAAAATGGGTTGACGTTCCACATATGTAGAGGGCCGGGACCTATTGGGTGATGGCAGCTCTCGGCAGAATTTCAGTAGTGTTGACCAAAAATTGTCCAACTCTAAATCTCTCCTAGTTGTACCTCTCTCCCTCGGTTTTGCAGAATGAGTATGGGATCGGGAAATAGTCCAATATCGATCTTCCAGCGAAGTAAGAGGGTGTGCCTCTCTTGTAGTTTGGGAAGTCAGTCTGCAAATTTGCTCAAGAGCCAGACTTTGCCAAGGAAGATCTGTAGCCAATATCATGTGTTTTAACACTTGAAGAGCCAACGCCTGACTTTGAATTTTTGGGTCAAGGATCCCAAGGCCCTCTTTGACTTTGGGTTGGATTAGAATCCTCCAAGCCACTCTTGGTATCACATGAGGTGTCTCATGATCACCACACCCGAGAAAAGCAACGAGTTGTCTTTGTAATGACCACAACAAAGATTTATACCAAACTGAAGCTAGAACTACGTTTTCAATTATCAAAACTGTGCCAAATAAAGGCGTATGTTAATTTTTCCATTGTTTCATTTTTTATATTGCAAGCGAAAAAATCCATAGGTCATTTGAATTTGGTTTCCCTTGTGCCGTAAGGATCACTCTTAGTACCCTAATTGGGGCCTCCGGTTGCATCCATTTGATCCTTGGGTATTCTGGAGGTCTATCCCCTTGGGAATGAATCCACCACTCTTGCGTTTTGTTTCCCCAATTCACTAACATATCCGATGACAGAGAAAATTTATCCATGATTGTTTTTATTTCCTCAAAATTGGTCGTAGAAGCTTCCATCATTATAATTAGATCATTTGCAAACACATAATATATGGGAATAGCTTCCTCCGGAATACCAGCGATCCTCAGTCTCTTTAGATTGTGGTTCTCCCTAAGATAAGCCCCTTATGCTTCCGTAATGATTACGAAAAGAAAGGGTGTTAATGGGTCTCCTTGCCTTACTGATTTTTGAAGACGAATCTCAGGGGAAAGTAGTCCATTGACTTGGACCTGAGTAGTTGCATTGGAATGAAGTATTTAAACCCATTTTCTTATCCTAGGGCCAAAATTCAGTTAAGCATTCATAAAAAAAAACACGAATCTGCATCATATGCCTTTTCGAAGTTTATAAAGATGAATGCAGTGTTGTGCTGATTTTGACGAGATAACTTAACCATTTCGTTTATTAGCAATATATTATCCTGTATATTTCTCTCATGGATGAAACCAGATTGAGAGGGGTGAATAATGTTTATCATTATATGGATGAAATGATTTGCAATTGCTTTGACTAGCATTTTGTAAACCACCGTAAGCAGGGTAATTGGTATATAATTCCTTATATTAGTCTTATCTCCCTTTTTGTATAATAGAGTTAGAATTCCTTGCCCTACAATTTCCCTCATACACCCAGAGTTTTGGACTTGGTTATAGTATTCCATCAAATCGTCAGCGAAAAAATTCCACAGTCTTCCAAAATTCCTTAGGGAGATTGTCCACTCCTGGGGTTTTGTGTTCGTCTATTTGTAGAAGGGCTGTCCCGATTTCCTCTTTGGTAATTGGACCTTCCAATTTTTCTCTTTGCTCCTGAGATAAGTGTTGTGTCAGAGGAGCAAGAAAACTCTACATTTCTTGTTCCGCGATTTTTGAGTCAATCGTGGAAGTGAAGAGGTTAAAAAAAGAAATTGTATGCTACTTTCAAACTCCCAGCATATGTGATAGGCTGGCTTTGAGGAGACTTAGAAGGATCTACCAGAGCCTCAATACTTGTTCTGTTGACTCTCACCTAAGCGATAAAAAAAAAGAGGAATCCATCTGCCCTTCTGACCGATGTTTTGATAGTTTGCCCCTAATGAGATGACCTTGCCAACGATGTAGAGCAAAAGTAAGAAGATGATTCTTAAGATTTTGGATGTCCACTGGTTGGGGAAGTGTTTCCGGATATTCTTGTTGTTCATAATTAGAAATTTGTTCCTGAATTCCCATTTCTTGTTTGTGTTTTTGTTTAGTCATTAACTTTGAATATTCATTGCATTTTTTGGCAAGGAAAAACAAGCCATTTTTAAACCAAGATATATAAGAGTATTGTTTCTCCTTAGCGGATTGCCAAAATTTCCAAACATTTTGAATATAGGTTCTAAATTCCTTTTGCTTAAACCACTAGTACCTCCGCCAGTGTTGGGAAATTAGGGGAAACTGGCAGTTTTCCCAAACTCCTGAAAATTCGGAGGCCGGGCCCGACGACAGCTGCCATTGCTAAATCTGATCGGTGGCGGTCGTTTCGTTTCGGCCATCTGAAAAGGTCGGAGGCCCACCCGAGGCCCGCTATTTTCCCACGCGGCAAAGGTACTAGTGGTTTAAGAAGGGAAGAATTGAGCTTGTAAAAGCCTCTTCTTTGGTCTGGTTTCTTTCGAAATGATAGTAAAATAGCGCACATCTTGTGGTCCGCTCCTGGCCATGGATTTTGTGGAAAAATATTTACCCCTACTAAGGCTCGGTGAGCGATTACAAAAACTTATGGTGATTGTCGTGTCTAGTGTGGCGATACTTGTAACATTACAATTTTTTTGTGAATTGGCTTGAACTGCTTCATCCTTGAACGCGTTTGACTGTTATCAGACAACATCATCAACTGGTGCAGTTAGTGAGTTGTATGACGTTTGATTCTGCAAGACAGTTAAGTATTCATAACCCTATCTTACCTTTTGGACGGTCTTCTTATTGCGAGGTTGAGCGAACTACTTGAGATTTGTCTCAATTGTGAGGTGCAAGTCGCGTCAAGCTTTAGACCCATCCCAGTCATGGAAGTTGTGGTGGCAGATGGGCGGTGTATGGGAAGGACCGATATGATGAGGTGGAGCATATGATGTGGGAGTAGAACACACATGCATCTGCTTGGTCTGACTAAGTTCCTTGCATGTTGTTCATGGGAGTAGGCGATCAGTCAAGAGGGTGGCTAAGAGGAAGCAAGAGACGGGTGTATGCCTGCTGTATGCTCACCTTCTATAAAAAACTATTTGACGTATTTGTTACCACTTGCCATACTTTTCTGTTGCAATACAAACTTTTGATTGGTCAAAGTTATTAGGGTAAGCTGATAGGGTCAGAGTAGTCTGTCTTTCCAGGACATCCATAGCGCGGCTTTGAGAGGGAGGAATGATCCCCGCTCCTCCTCTCCAAAGTCAAACGGCCGATCCTCGCACTGAAGCTTGTTTAAGTGGGCCGCGAGCTTGGAGTAGCCTTTGATGAAGCGCTGATAGTAGCCGGTAAGACCGAGGAACGAGCGAACATCCGTTACGTTCCGAGGCTCCGACCACTCTTGGATGGCCTGAATCTTGTCCGATAGCGGACTGATGCCCTCCGGTGTGACAAAATGGCCCAAGTATTCCAGCTCTTGCCGGACAAATTCGCACTTGTCACGTTTGGCCTTGTACTTGGCACGACGGAGCGTCTCCAACACCCGTCGAAGATGTCCAAGATGATCCTCCAATGTCCGGCTGTAGACGAGAATATCGTCTAAGTAGACCAGCACGAACCGGTCCAACATTGCACGAAACTCATTGGTCATCGTCGCTTGGAATGTTGCCGGGGCGTTGGTGAGGCCAAAAGGCATGACCACCCACTCAAAATGCCCGTACCGCATCTTAAATGCGGTTTTATAGCGATCATTCGGCTGAATCGAGATTTGATGATATCCTGATTTCAAATCCAACTTGGAAAAATACTTCGCACCGCCCAGCCGCTCGAGAAGATCGTCGATGCGAGGAAGGGGCCCCGCATTCTTGACGGTTTGCGCGTTGAGCTTGCGGTAGTCGATACACAATCGTAGATCCTTGTTCTTCTTCCTGACGAAGAGAATTGGTGCTCCATATGGGGAGCTACTCGGGCGGATCTAGTCCTTGGCCAACAAATCATCGAGTTGTGCGCGGAGTACCTCAAGCTCCTCGCTCATCGATAGATGCAACCTTTCGGCGGCACGGCACCGGCCTCAAAAATGATCTCGTGAGAGATCGACAGACCTGGCACCACACCGGTAGGTGACTCGAAGATGTCGGCGAACTCGTCCGGCAACCGTATCACACGGGGGTCCGAAGACAAGTCCGTGGGTGAAGAGTCGGCTACCGCGATGGTCCGTAGGAAACATATGCCGATCTCGGGCTGCTCGTAAGCACAAGTCGCCCGGAATGATTTCGCCGTCACCACTTGGCACCAGATCGAAGAGTGCGGTAGAGGAATCGTTTACGCCACTTCCGCGCCGAAGGCGTTGCGAACGCTAAGAGTCCGCCGATGGAAGTTGACCGTGTGATCCGCACTTGCAAGCCAAGGCATTCCCAGAATGATGTCGAAGTCCGTGTCGAGAATATCGAATGTCACCGGTTCGCATGCTTGAGGTACGAAGTAGACCGGTACGGCCTCGATGTAACGGTCGAGTAGTTGCTGCGTCTTTCCATCCGCCAACTTGATCGCCGTCTCCGAACTTGTGCGCCAAGGCCAACTCTTTGCATAAAAGACTGGCTCATGAAGTTGCGAGTCGCGCCGCTATCCAGCAAAGCGCTGCAGGACGCTTGCCCAACCTGGATGCGGATATACATGAGCGGTGCATTGTTGTTATCGTACCGCTGCGTGCGAAACTCGCGGGCCACCTTGGTAACGTACGCCAGGATGTCCCCCACCGCGACTTCATCATCTCGGCGAAGTTGGTGGTGCATAGAAGGAAAGGTAAGTGTGGAGATGAGCGCTAAGTGCTGCGCATTGCGGTCCCGGCAAACAGCCTGTGGTCGCGAGAGGAAGCCATGCAAAGTCCTCAGACGTGAGCGGGTCCAAAACCTCTATCGTGAACTCGCGCGTCGAACCCCGTGACGAACCACTTGAAGACGATATGTCGCTGTTGCCGGACGGAGAAGAAACCGCACACACTCCTTGTCCTTGAGCTTGAGTACCCAGCGTTGGAATGAGCCGCGCAACATAGTCCTCAAAAGAAAATAGAAGCGGAGGACTGTCGACTTCCGCGTGCGCCTTGGAATGAAGGCTGGTCACTCGCGAAGAAACCAGTTCCGAAGGCGTCGAGAGTGTCGTCGCATCACTCTCGGCGGTGCTCAGTTTCCCTGTCGACCCTTGTCCTTCAGTGGGCAAACCGGCGTCAGATGAAGATCGTTGTTGCACCACAGGCAATAATGGAATCTCTCGCGCGCCTTGTAGGCGGACTCGGAGATGCCGTACGGGGTCCATGGGCCTGTCTGAGCTGCTGCACCGGGCCCGGGGCTAGAAACGGTGTGTGTCTTCGACTTGCCGCGCCCTCGGCCTCTGTCGGCGCGGCCACCTTCCCGGGCGGCTACAAATCTGTCTCCTTCACTGGCAAACGCAGCCTCGCTGGTTTGGTCTAACGGCACTGCCGCTGCGACCACGGCCACTCGTGGCCGATGCTGGTTCCCGCTCGGTCCTGATGCAGAAGAACGGAGGTTCTTGGCCTCCTTGTTCGTAACGATGATCTGCGCAGCCTTGTCGAATAGTTCCGTTGTCGTCGTCAAGGTGTCCTCGACATGCGTCAGGGCATTGCTCAATGCCGGACATGACCTTGAGATGAAATAGTGGCGGATGGCCTTGAAGCCCATCTGGATGTCTGGGATTGACGTCAAGCGTTGGTACTCGGCGATCCAGTCCGTACTCGGCAGTGAGCCTTGCTCGAAGACCATAAGCTTGTCCATGGCTTTGATCTCTGGCGGCTCCACCTGGAACCGCTTGTGCCACGCCGTCTTCAGATCATCCCAGCTGATCATGGTGTGCAAGTTCGCTGCTACCACTCCGTACTTGGACAACAAGTTGTCCAACCACGCCTGACACGCGCCCCCTGAGCGAGAGTACAAGTAAGCGTGGTGCTTGTTTTCCTTAACGTTGTGGAGCTGCAGCGTGAACCCATGGAATCGGATCTGTCTTGATTGAGTCGTGGAAGATCTCCTACCCATCGAACTTAGGAGCTGTCTCGCGCGGCTCCGGACTCGAGGTGGTGGCGGTAGTGCAGATCCGCTGCTGCAATTGTTGCGTCGCGGTGTGCTGTAACTGTGCGCCATCCTGGAGGGAGCGGACGTGCATCTCCAATGCGGTGAGGCGGTCGGCAATATTGGATGAGCCTGCGTCGGCGGCGACGACTGGTCGCTGCTCCACCCGCTGAAGGCGGCCTTGGAGCTGAGCTACCGAGTTGTTGAGACCAAGGATCTTCGCCTGCTGTGTAATGCAGGTTGCGAGGAAATCCGTGAGATGCGAGAGGAGGAGCGCTATCTTGTTTGCGCTGTCCTCCAACTGGCTGTTCTCGGCCTCGCTTCGCCATTCTGCTGCCATGGTAAGTAACGCCCGCTCTCCGGTGAATATCTTCTCACGACGGTGTGTTCTTTCTTCATCAGCAGCCCTTGCTGTTGCCTCGTCGTGCTGGCGATGTTGTTGCACGGCCAGCAGACGTGCCTGTTTGGCATCCTCTGCCCTTTTCTTGGCTGCTGCGGCCTGATAGGCCTCGTCTGTTTCCCCGGCCTTCTGGTCCATGACTGCTGTCTGTGAAGGCAACAGCATAGACCAGACCGGTGCCTGCTGATGTGGTATCCCTTGCTGCTGACGTGGCAATGTTGACGTGTCCTGCTGACGTGTCCTGCTGACGTGGCCTGCTGATGTGGCCTGCTGATGTGGCCTGCTGACGTGGTCTGCTGACGTACTTACGTAGCCTGATGACGTGTCCTGCTGACGTGGTCTGTTGACGCGGCCTGCTGACGTGGCAACTTACCAATGTCGTCACAAGGGGTACCCGGAGACAACCAGAAACGGCAAGGCGAGAGATGGCAACAACGTAGGTGGGGAGGGGTGGGTGGGATAATCGCCCAACTCACACTTAGATAAGGAGCCACTAATCAAACCAGAAAAGTTTGAACTTTGCAAAATTTTTTTTTGAGAAATTAGAAAAATAAAAATCCCGATTTTTGCAAGTTCGGTAGGTCTCCCAATCTCCCTTGAAGTACGAAATGATCTCTGAAAGCGAAAAAAAATTCGACTTTAGATTGCAACCGATTTATAGAACCAACTGACAGAATTCAATAACTGCGAAAAAAGTCCGAAAAGAAATGACAACTATTCGGATTTATTCCGATGGGAATATTCGCAGTTTGAGAAAAAAAATAATACGTGCAGGAGGTATTTCCCGTACCGTTTTCAGAAAAAACGAATTTCAGACAAGAAGATATTCCGAAGTTCTAAGTACGGGAAATGCAACAAAAAATCAAAACTTTCAAAAAGAAATATATTTCGGATTTTTAACAACGAAATTTTGAATTTTTAGAAAGAAAAACAAAAATGGGAATTTCAGATGTTGCGATATAGCAGAAAATAAAATCTGAGAAAAGAAAAAAATTTTGATTTTTTTTTTTGTAGTAAGGTCAAGATCGTGATTTTGGGGTCTAACTAGTATGTCCTAATCAACAAAAAAGACTAACTAGCTTTCTTGATCCCCGCACACGTGTCAGATCAGCTGGTCCTGATTCACCTGCAAAAGCTCCGATACCAACTGTTACATGCACAGATATGCAATGTACGTAATAAACCGAGAATCTGCAATGTGATGAAAAGGACTGAATAGACAATGCGGTACGAGTAGAATCTCGACAAGCAATGTACATTCTCATTCATACATAAAGATGCTGAAGAGCGCAGGGAAGACTTTGATACAAAGACTGACCTCATTCACGTAGTTCAGAGTAACAAAGTAGAATGCTAGAGTACCTCTAACTAGCCCAATCAATCTTTGAACTCAGACTAAACATGCATTGCATCCATCACGAAGTGTGAAGGAGCCTGGCGCTGCACAGAGGAAGAAAGCGCCAGGTCCAGACATACACAGACGAAGAGATAAGGGACAGACGAAAGGAGGGAAGAAGATGGGAATGTCGTTAACACCAAGTCTTGGTCACCAATCCCAAATAGTCCCTCGTTGCCATGTCTGAATCCCCGAAAGTCGAGTCTGGATCAAATGTCACCAAGCTCTGTATCTCTTCGCTCATAGTCTGCAGATGCAGTGAAGTCAGAAGTGAGAGGGAGAGAAAAGATGGTGGACTGAGAAGAAGAAGAACTCTCTCTCTCTCTCTCTCTCTCTCTCTCTCTCTGTCTCTCTCTCTCTCTCTCTGTTGCGAACCAAGTACTAACCTGTGATGTTGGCGCTGTGCTGCAGGTACCTCGAAGACGAAGCTGGAGCAACGGCTCTGCAGGTAGGTACATCTGGCCTCCGCCCAAGCTCTCTCTCTCTCTCTCTCTCTCTAGTACTAACTGGCTATGGCGCCCAGCGATGGAGACTACAACTACCTACTGCGCCCAGCGCTGAAGACTACAAGCTAACGCTACTACTCTACACTGCAGCGCTCCCTCCAGAGTGCTGCTCCCGAATCCTGAAGACTACAACTGCCGAACTGCCTGCACGTGAAGTGCCTGGGAAAACTACCTGCCTGCCTGTAGGGCGGGCCAGTCTTATATAGTGCTTGCCCGTCCAGGAGGCTGCCCTTGCCACTGCCCAAACGTGCTAGACCCTGAGGAAACTTCCGGAAGTTTCCAGGTAGCTTCTGGGTAAAGCCTGAGGAAGCTTCCGGAAAGTTCCCAGGTAGCTTCTGACTAAAGCCTGAGGGCCTATAGGCCCTTAAATGCCATGGGGCCTGTAAGCCCTGGATTTCAGGCTTTCGGGCTGAAACAGCCACAGGGTCTGTAAGCCCTGGATTTCAGGCTTTCGGCCTGAAACAGCCACGGGGCCTGTAAGCCCTGGATTTCTGGCTTTTGGGCTGAAACAGCCACAGGGTCTGTAAGCCCTGGATTTCAGGCTTTCGGCCTGAAACAGCCACGGGGCCTGTAAGCCCTGGATTTCAGGNAACAGCCACGGGGCCTGTAAGCCTTGGATTTCAGGCTTTCGGCCTGAAACAGCCACGGGGCCTGTAAGCCCTGGATTTCAGGCTTTCGGCTTGAAGGACGCAGGGCCTGGAAAATGGCCCTTGTGTGCAGGCACAACATGTAACATGTTCTCTCCATGCCTTCTTGTTATCCATCCACACAAAAGGCACGGAGCGGGAGGGCTCAAATAATTTGGCTTCTTCCTTGGCTCCAACAATGTCATATCCTTTGCTAGAATTTGGACCTTGACCACCCATCCTTTCGGGTCTGTTGAACCCTCCTGATTATTCTTAAAAAACTGGTCCGCTCCTTAGTATAATCCACCATTCCAGCAGGATTGCAACTATTATCTTGGCAAGCCTTTCCAGGTTGTTACTTCTTCCATGTCCTCCTAACTTTGCCCCGGATATCCTTGATCCTTAGGATTCTTTAAAAACTGGTCCGTTCCTCAGTATAATCCACAGCAGGATTACAACTATTATCTTGGCAAGCCTTTCCAGAGGGTTTCTTCTTCCATGTCCTCCTAACTTTGGCCCAGATATCCTTGATCCTTAGGATTCCTTTTTTGACCCACCTTTTCCAGGGGGGTTCGTGGGTGGGGAAAATTTGATTGTCCTAGTTTGTTCTTCTATTCTTAAAGACAGGCTGATGCATAATATCATCCTATCTAGGACGTCTGTACTTATTCGGGATTGGTAATTCATGGCAAGCCAATAACAACAAGCACAACATGGGTCATTTTGCAAGATCACCAATTTAAAAGGATGCTTTGTGAATGGAGAGAACACCACTACCTTTCACAGGCAAAATTTTGTTGCGAGGTTGTTTTCTTCTACATTCTTCGGGGGCTTGGCCTCCCAAGCCTCTTTGGCTGGCGGCACAAGCCAAATTGGTTAGGCCCATTGGCCTCGTGGGCATACATAGTGCCTGCTATCTAGAGGTAGCCCATTGCTTTCCCCGATTGGATCGGAGGAGAGACGTCACTATTGGTCAGTTAATGCATGGTCCTTGAAGCTATTAACTAGTTAATGCATGTTCCTTGAAGCTACCGGCGGACCCCTGGTCAGTATCTCCTATCTGTAGGTTGGGTGCAATCTCCATATGTTCTCTCGTGAACATGAACGTGACTGCTACGGGGCTCCCCGTAGTACTATATAATGATAATAAAAGACCTGAACCAGTATCCTGTCAGGTTTGGAAGAAGATTGAATTCGGTTGGGCTACTTAGCCTTTATTCACGGAGGGGACTAAAAATGTGGAAGTGCTCGGAAACCATGCAATTGGGGTATGCCAAGGATTTCAGAAAAAAATGGGTGTGGTGTTCCAGGTCAGAACTGGAATCTTACGTGCAGTTTCAGTTATGGTTAGGCCGAAGGCGAAATGGCGAGCGATCAACGTCTACCTAATTCAAAACTACCTTTGGACCTCCTCCCGTGTTCTACGACGTTTCTTACCCTGGAGAAATGTTGCAGGAGTGTACGAAGGGTCTCGGCTATGGATGAGTGCTCGACGACCTGTCTCATAGAGTTCAGAGTCAGAATGAGAGGGGCTCAGACGTGCGGCTCTTGTCACTACCTCTGAGTCTCCACGTGGCACGTACTCGAACCCTTTTTCCTTTGGTGGTTCCATGCGTCGGCAATTGGTGCAGAGAGTACACGGCCAATGAGGGGCAACAATCCGCCAAGATCAGCTTGTTACAAGGCAGAAGGACAGAGAAGGGAGGGAAGATAGTATCAATATTCACAAACCTTGAGTTAATGAAACCCGAATACTGTGTCTCAAAAGGGAATTGACATGGTCATCCTATTTGCGCCACAATTTCACGCACATCCCACTCACATACATGTATCCTTTCCTCCTCATTGTATAGGAACTCTGGAAAGGGGTTGGGATATCCACACAGTTGCGAGGCAGACAATCGGTGCGAGTTAAACAACATTGTTAAGAAAAGGTTGTTCGTCATTTGCGAAGGGGGAAAGTAACACCCATCACACACATCCACAATTCACAAAACACGCAAAACTGTTCCTACTCATGCAAGGTATGACGAATGCGTACATCACTCATCCCACTTTTCGTGCAAGCGGAAGAGTGTAATGGGAGTGTTGTACCCACGCGTTTTCCAAGCCTGAAAGAGAGTGGGCGACAAACATTGGCTACATACAGTTATGCAAGTGGAAGAGTGTAACAAGTGCTTCACTCGTCATATGCATGCTGCAGAGGGAAGAATCAATTTCAGGAAGAACACAAGCATTCTTTAAAGATAGAAAGGAAAAGTGCATCCCATTTCATGCGAATACAAGGAGATCAAAAGACAATGATATTTAAATAGGAGGTCGAGCGAACCCGAATACCCATGCACTTACAAAAAGGCGACTGCAATACGTGTCCCTTTTGCAAGCGGAAGAGTGTGACGGGAAACATTCACATCCTTTCTATACAAAGAGAAAGAGAGAGACACACTTGCAATCATTCAAAGACTTGTATTCATACATCCATTCATACAATTCAAGGACCATGAGACTCATAGATAGAGAAACCAATCGAGACGGAGATGAAAATGGGGAAAATGGCACCTCGCCATGCAACTCTCATTTATTTAAAATAAATCAAAGAAGAAGAGGAAGAGGAAGAGGAAGTGGACCATTCCGTTCGCGCACCGACCAATCAACCAACCACGATCTCTTACCCATCCCAAGCACCGAAGATCCCCGCCGTCGCGTACTCAGCACACCTATCAGCAATTGTCACCCCGTCGATCCAACTCCGTCGTTAATCCGCCAATATTAAGCATTCCTTCGCAGCTATCTGGAGCTGCGATCCCGCAAAGCCGCAGAAGACCCGTTGGGACTTTCGGACTTGCTGATCACCCTATCTAGCCACTACTCCAACATATTTGACTGATAACATGCGAGAGAGAGAGAGGAAGATGATCTTGCAAGATTTTCTAGTTGCGGAGGTAGCAGGAGGGATGGAGAAAAGGGGTGGATAAAGGGGAGAAGGGGAAAGGAGGAACAAATCAAGAGGGCGATGTCGATCATTTGAGAAAGCTCACAGCCAATCGAAACACTGAGTGGGGGTTTCAGAGCCACTCTACACGCTACGATCCGGTTTCTTCGGTCACTTGGGATCGACAAGCTCCTTCCGAGTGTAGACGAAGGCGGGAAAAGACGTTTCGAGAAATGGTGTAAGGCGGGACCAGGATTGAATGAGATCGAGAAGGAGAGGAAGGCACGGCGAGAGGGAGAAGAAGACAGTTACGCTTTACCGCAAAAGGCGTGGGCAAGGAGGAAGAAGAGCGCGAAAAGATATTGCATGCAAGAGCGTGAGCGCAGAAATGCTTTCGCAGAAAACTTAGAGGCACCAAAACAGTTATACGAAATGCCAGTGAAAGTCGCGCCTAATTCCTACGACCAATATGAAATGAAAAAGTTTGAAAAGAAATTTAAAGCACACACGACCAATATGAAATTGAAAAGTCTGAAAAGAAATTCAAAGCACGCCCACTGAGGCGCACAAAAACTCTATGTCGATTCCAATCTTTCTCTACTCAGAAGTGAAAAATACAAGGGCATTTTCCAAAGGCGAACCAAAAGAAAACTCAAAGAATTATCTGACGCAAAAACAACCCACAGACACCTCACTGCAATAAGTCGGATCTTCGCCTTCTCCACAACTAGGGAAGCTTAAACCACCAGTATTTGGCCCATACATCGGTCGCGGGGCGTTGTCGTTAACACCCCGCAACTTCCGAATGCTTCGGGTACCAGCCCTCAAAGGCTAGCGCCGCCAGCCAAATTTTGTTTTCCTTGTTGCGCTAGCGGGTCGACACAAAACGACGCGCAGCCTGTTTTCAGGCGTGACATTGATAGTTGGGCCAAGTACTGGTGGTTTAACGATCCTGCAGCTAGTACCTCTCCAACCATTTTCGCTGGTAGTTGGTTGGGTAGCTCGGGGGTCCTTGCTCCCCGGGAGGGTAAGAATGCAATAAATCGCAGTATCCCAGTGGGACTGTACACTAACTGTGTTTGCTGTTTCCTTGTTTTGGGCCTTGTGGGACTTGATCCGGTGACCTGTAATTTGTATGTTTGGTATGTTAGCTTCGAGCCCGACCGGGCTTGATCCTTAGACCTGTAGCTAGTAGTCATTATTTGGCAGCCTTAGACCCTTAGGCTTTGCTGTTTTGTCATTTTCTGCAGTTGCTGTAGTCAACCTCGGACTTGATCTCGTGACCTGTAGTGTGTTTGTGGTTTGAGCTTTATTGGTCTTGAACCTTGAACCTGTCACTAGTAGTCTCTACTTCGTAGTCTTAGGCCTTTCATCCTTGTTGTTTTGTCCTTTTTTGCCCTTCTGGAAACTGGTAGGCCTGTAGGTCTTTCTTTTGTGTGTCCTAGCCTTGGGTCCCCTTAGTTTAGGTTTCCATCTAGATGCATGTA